GTTTTTTATGGAATATAATTAACAGAATATAATTGGTACATGAATTAAAGGTATGGAATATGTATGGAGTATTTCATGGATTATATTGGAGTATGAATTAATGGGATAATTAATAGTTATTAAGATCGTGGCATATTCATGGGATAAAGAATATATCTGGGATATGACGAACATGAGCTATTTAGCCTCTAACGCGCCATGGACACACTCGTCAGGTGACCCCCTTGCTGGGACAACAACAAACCATCAACCAATCACCAAAAATTGGAACTTAATGAACTTATTAGCATATCAGTGGGGAACAACCAATATAGTAGCATATAATAGCAACTTATGGGAACTTGCTAACCATCTACCTTCTACCGAAGTCGTGTTTTTGGGGGTTGAACCTGCATGATATTTACCCTATCCTACTTCACGTAGATGGTAAATCATCTACAAATACCTACAAATGGGATCAAATGGGAAAAATCTATGGCTGTGATGAATTAAGGGTGCCTGGGATTGTTTCAGAATATTCCGTAAGCTGGTGAGGAATCTCACAAAGGGGTTAGGAATATAGAGGTTACCAGAGATATTATCAGTGGTTTGTATATACAGTTGGTCTTTCATCCGACAAATGATCACTCAACTGGGACTATTCAGGGAGAAACACCTGGGATTCACCATAGATTGAAGCACCCCATATTCATAGCTACAGTAGCTCAGATTTTCCCGGATGATTCCCCAGCCGGGATCATCCAAATCGCTTGGGATTTCCGCCAGGGCGGCCAGGGACATCTGCGGATCTAAGGAGGGATTGAACTCCTAGCACCAACTGCAGGTCAGTTGTTTTTTCCTTATCGATCATAGCCATAGCTACTGTATTATTTGACTCACAAGCCCTTTGTCTTAAACATGCTTAAGAAAGCGATTACCATCTCGTAATCAAATATTGCAACGGAAAATTCCCCATTTATAGATGATTTTCCCATTAAAGGCTTCATCTCCATGGGACTTTTCATTGCCATGTTTGATTCCCGGAGGGTAGCACGTACGGCTCAACGGACTCAACGGCTCAACGTACACCCTGGTGGTGAGCTCCTCCTCCATGGTCCACATGTTGGAGCAAAGACCCTCTTCGAAGTTGGCGGCTTTCCTGAGGATGGGTGACTTTGGCCATGGAGGGTAGTTATGCCAATCAGATACCACTAAAGAATTCGAGCCAAGGTTCACCAAGTGAACACTATGGGATTCATCAAAGAGTCATCCGAGGTTAGGCTCTAATCTCGTTTGTGGGTTCAAGTCTCAACGAGTATCAATGAATCTACACTGTATAGATTATAGTCTGCCACAATTATGGATGGCGTAGGATCCATACAAGAGCTGCTGCGCTGATCAGTGGTGCTCTTTTTCGAAATTCCTTGATTCCGGAAATCATGCAAGGAGAAATTGGCACAAAGCCTGTATGTTTCAAGAGTCCATGGACTTTCCTCAAGGTTCCCATTTAAGGATAATTGTTTCCCAAATCCGGCGGTACCCCCAAAACATCCATGTTTTTAAAAGATTTTCCATTACAAACCATCCAGCATCACCTTACTATTACGGACATTATTTGTTCCTCTTGGCTCTTGGCCATGTTCATCAGTGGAGAATGGGCCTCCATTTGGCGGCTTCTAAGTGCTGCATCATCTCCTCCTGAGGCGCTTGCCCATCAATCAATGGATTAATTAACAAAAATCAACGGTTGAAACCATGGTGTTTGAGGCTATTTCCAGGGGGTTCATGTAAATTGTTCCATCGGTTCCACCGTCCTAGACCCGCTGCTCTGTACAAGTACCCATGAGAACTGGTACGCAAAAATACACCATAAATTCAGCACTTTAACTCATTCTTATGGGTAGTTGGAGGGTCTAGGTAGATATTGGCTCCTAAATATGATTAGATATGAAATTATATAGATCCAGAATCAGTATAGAATGAACATCAATTTATAATTGATTGAACCCAATACCACTCAACAATGACTAACACCAGTGTCAGTCAGGAAAGGGGCATGGCACAAGGCACACAACTGACAATTTCAAGAACAACAATTATTATGGATTTTGGAAGACTATTTTCCAACTGTTTCCAACAGATGTTCAAGAACCCTACAATAGACAATAACACATTGAGATTGTTTCCAAGTATGTTTCCAAAATAAGTTTGAACTGAATTTTGGAACCAGCCCCAATTGCCGAATCTTCCGTCCTGGGAAGCACCTACTGACTGACCAACTTCTTCTTCAAAGAGGTCAGGATGGAGCGGGTTGATGGTTCCTGCATTTTGCGAGGCCCCCGGGCCTCCAAACCGAAACCAGCAAATGGAAATAAATGGAAATAGTTTGTTGCATTCATCATCCAGAGCCCCTTGGGGAGATGTCTACAACAATCTTCATCTGCTTAGAAAAATGGTTGCCCGTGCGCTTTCTTTTCCACTGGCCAATAAGTAGTGAACATTGCGTGTTCTCATTGGATTACATTTTTCACCCTGACCGGTATCTAGACAAGCGGTAGTTTGACAAAACCATGAAGTCATCGTCGGCCCATCGTCACATCGTTGGCTCCCTGCCTGACATGTGAGGGAAGGGGCATTCCTTGGTGGAAGCAATGGGTCAACGGCTGCTTTGTGGACTTGAACAAATAATGGGTTGTTTCATTTGCTGAATAGAATGTAAATCAATACATGTACATGTCTGTGTATACAGTGTGTAATATAAATGTTTATATGTATATATATATATATGTATATACAGTGTGTATATTTATACAATTTTATACATATTCATGTGCACTATTGTGCACTCATGTGCACATACAAGTGATATTTGATACTCTCCGATATAGGGTTTGTCCAAATATGAACAAACAATGATGTCTTCGTCCGTGTGAACCCCTGCCCAAAACTCCAACTTCTCAGTGGTCCCATCTCCACTTGTTACCCTCTCTTAATTTTTCGTCCGTAAATCATCGAGCTAAATGGGCCATGTTCCATAGCTAAAAAAAGGGCCTCTGGTAATTTGACAGTTTGCTATATATGGAAGCCAAGGCCATGGCCATTGAGTTCAATGATTTAGTTGATACAATATCTGTAAATACATACGCACACACACATATATATATATATTATAAATTGTTTTTTCCAGAACAAACTGCGAATAATTATCAGAGGGTATCCTTTCAAAATTTGTGCCCAGCTCAACCTGGCACACGCCGAGGCTCCTGGGGATAAAGGTGATGCAGCCATTGGGCAAATAACCGGCCATGCAATGGCACCTCTCATTGCGGCTGACGTGCTCTCCGGACATGGCAGGGTTACTCTTAGATACACTGAAAACAAATGATGTGGCAATGATGTGGTTATAATGTATAGTTTTAAATCAATATGTATATATATATATATCAAATTATATAACTTTAACATATCAAATATCATATTGTGAAAAACATATAATATATCATATTATGAAACATACACATATCATATAAAATATCATATTATATATAATAAAATCTATCATATAATAAATCATACAAAATCAAATAATATATCATATTAAATATCAAATAATATATCATACTAAATATCATATAATCTATCATTATATATATATATAATTTCATATTCTATTCATATTATATATATATGCATATATATATAATCATAACATATTAATATATTACTTTCATATTGCTATAGCGCAACAGATTCACCTGTCCAACAAGCCAAACAGGGCTTCCCAGAACCGGACTTGTGCCAAGAGTGGGCACAGCCAGGGACTTTGCCGATCTTGATCATTTGAATAGATTGGCTGAAGGGAAAATCTGCAGGAAACCACAACGTATACCACCAAAAATCATGGGTTTCCTGAACTTTGCCTCGGACCATAGCAGCAAGTAATCACTGTGTCTTTTTCTTCGTTGGTGAAATTCCCGCTGTTGCTTCTAAATTGTACGTACTACTCACATGGGTGTGTGTGTGTGTGCGTGTGTCAAGCTTCTACGCCTCTACGCCCAAAAATATCCAAAATTAGAATGGTTCCCTTCTTAACCTCACCAAACTCGTCCAGAATCTCTGTCACAAACCTTTTCGAGCATTTGGGGACGTCCAGCTACTTTCTGCGGGTTTTCCCCATGGATCCCCATGAATTTTCACCATTTGTCGAAGGAAGTTTAGAAGTCAAACTTCCGACAATATGGACAGATGGAAAAGCAGAGGTGGGAAGAGTCAGAGAAGAGAAGAGCAGAAGAGAGAAGATCAGAAAAGAGAAAGAGTGAGAAGAAAGAAGGCGCAGGTGCGCGAAAAGGTAACAAAGTCGCGAAGCATGGTGTTTTTCGAATGGTTTGTGGCTCCGGAGGGTCGAAAAGTAGTCTCGCTACACTGAAATACAACTACAACTACACTACACTAATTACATTACACTACACTAACTACAACTACAAACTACAGCTGCAATTCCCACTACCACTACTTTACACTAATTACACTACACCACACCGCGCCACACTACGCTACACCAACTACAAGTACAGCTACAACTACAACTACGCTAGTTTACACTACACTACACTAGACCACCCTACACTACGCTATCCTACATTACATTACACTCATTACATCAACACAAATGCAACTGCAACTACACTACACTAATTTCGCTACACCACAACAACTAAACTACAACTACAACTACAGCTGCACTACACCACACTACATCCAGCAGTTGTGAGGTGACCGACCAGGTGACCACTGCAACCATTGTAACCACTCCAAAAAACACAACTCCAACCACCTTTCGGTCCATCAGTGGATTCGCTCTGCCATCCTTGATTCACAACAACCAACCTCTCCTATATATAGGTTTCCTATTTTTGAAACTTCCGCCACCGCCTTGTGCGGTACTACTGGTAGATCATATTGTCCTTCTGAAACGATGCTTGTGTTCCATATCATGTTCTTCATTTCCTGGATTTCTTGTTTTAACATATTTTAACCAAGTCACATTTTTTGGGGAAATCCAACCCATCAACACCATGATTTTCAATGATTTTTGCCGCCTCACCGCCATGGTGCTCCGCCACTTCCCTCAGCTTCCGCTCCAAGGCCCTTCCGATCGTGGCATTCAAGGCGGACAAAATGGCCGCGGGAGGTGCCTGGCGTCGCTGGTTGACCGATGGCTGGGCTGGGAAAGTCAATAAAAATAGAGGTTTTCTTGGGAAAAACATAGGGTTAAAATGGGAAGATATGGGGAAAACACTATCACATTTGATTACCCAAAGGTAAGTCATGTCATATTTTATTATGTATAAATCGCAACAAATGAATGTGTGAAAGTACCCATGAAAGGTTGACACACGTTTGAATTGCTGTTCTATTTTGTTGAGAACTATTTAATGTTCTTTTGACAAAAAAAACATGTCATGTTCGGTGGGCCCGTTGCATTTCAAGTGTGTATCCCTGTATCCCCTAGAAAACCATAGTGATTTGGTAGAAACAGAAAAACAGAAACAAAGTGTAGGCATCAATCGCACATGGAAAATCACCAAAATCACCATTCTTAATGGGTAATGTTGGTTGAATATCGTTGATGTATATAATTGATTTGTATTCCATTGCTATGTTATCCTTTGGCGGGCGCCCTGCGGGCCCTGCGGGCCCTGCGCGCCCTGCGTCTCTCGCCTTGGACTTTCCAAGGGTCGTCTCTAGGCTCTGGAGCTTCGCGTCACATTCATCAATGCAACAAACAGCGAAATATCCTCGCGGCTGGAAAGAACTTTCTTGGGGTTTTCACCAACCTGGAGATTTCATCCATTCAGAATTTTAAATGTAAGTTAAAGCACCACAGGAATGTCAAAGGATTGGTTTATGGGAAATTTTACAGGAAGCACTAGGGTTTTAACAGCAAATTCAAGGGTTTCCTGAACATTTTCATACCTGGAAGTGGTTGAAAGATCGCCTATTTTGAGCCTGAAAGAGGTGGAAAAAAAAACGCATTTAGAGTTGGAAAGGTTCTGGGTTGAGCTGAATTCCCGTAGACCCCTTTTGACATTCCCACACAAGCATGAACCAGGGCTCCAATCATTTCACCCAGGTACAGATCCCCATCTCATCATATTTAGTGTTTGACTGAAAATAGGTTGCCCCCCAAAAAACATGTTTCATAATCATCGTCCCAGTTAAGCTTTTCTTTTTTGTTTGGAGCCAAATACCATATGATGTTCCATTAAAATGTTCTTTGGTTACCCCAACATCTCATGACGGATCATCATTTGGATGATGGGGATGGATCTCCAAAAACTTGGCCAGTTCCCGCAGCATTACCCGAAGCTTGTCGTTTCACTGTACTCATAGATGGATCATATTAACGACAAAGAACAACGCCGCATATCATACTGGTATATATATATGTATATATATGTATATATATATATGTATATATATGTATATATGTGTAAATATTCATAAATATATATATATATACGTATGTATATATATATATATGTATATATATATATATGTATATATATATATATATGTATATATATATGTGTATATATATATATATGTATTATACATATATGATATACTTAACTTTGATGCGATGCAGGTTGATGACACTGGTTGACTAAGAAGGGGATTCCCAGTTCATGGATATCCTCCGGCGATCAAAGGCGTTGATGCGAACTTCCCCATACAAGGTATGTAAATAGTAGAACCATGTTGTCTATACATGATGGATTTTCCAGCACGCCATGTTTGATTATTGGAGGGTGGTATTTTAATCCATCATCAACAGGTAATCATTTTTGATTAATACTGCCATGCACCATTCTCGATTACCATCTCCATAATAATGATCTGCCATACATCCTATGGCAAATTGTCTGATTTGGAATTCGCGCACTTTCATTCAAACCATCTCCAAGTCATCACCATGAATTTATGGCTGCTATATGTTTACCATCCCCAATCATGCTAATTATTTCCTTGTTTGTGGCACCCAGTGTTTCCAACATTATATTAACCATTACATCAACCCTTCTATAACTATTATATAACGATTATGTATCCATTATATAACCATTATTTTAACATTTATCAACCCTTATCAACCCATTATTAACCTATTATTACCTACAGGACCCATTCCGCGTGCCAGGCCTGACGAGGCGATGCAGTTGGAAGGACCCAAGATGTAGTTGGGCACAATGACACGCAAGGCCTGCGATAAACACGTTGCGTATGGCTTGGCACGGAGCATTTTCGCTTTTGTGTTTTGAACATCAAAAACTCATAGGAATAGATCATAACATGTAAAAACTGCAAATCTAGTTGTATATATATATATAGCAATATATGTATATATACACATAGTTGTATCATGATTTATTTATATATTGCAACAACTTTAATAACTGAGCGCAACCAACACATGATGCTTGCAATAAATAACATATATACACAATGAGGGGCATGGACAAAGTCCAAGGAAGTCCAGTGAAGCTGAAGCTGTATTTAAAACACATAATTACAACTAACGTGAATAATCCCATCTGGGCTGCTTATCTTCATGTGGGTTTATCCTCAAAAATAGGTGACTCCATCTCATCCAAATCCAACGGTTGTTCATTCCATTGCCTCAGTTCCTGTATTATTCAATGACACTATGCACTAGCAAATTTACAATCGGGTCTCTCTGAAAATAGGGTCCTCCCAAATTTGACAAATTTCATTATCTATAAATCGTCTTTTTTGTTTCTGCTTTTTTAATGATATTTGTCCCATTGAAAGTGGCCATGACTTGGGGCATTCCCTCTGCCTCGGGATCTGACTCATCCAATGCACCCAACTGGCGAAGATAAGCCACGCTTTCGCCTCTGCCGTCGTTGTTAATGCGGGATGCGATGGGCTGGGGCATCCGGAATCCTAGTACCATGGGAAATCTGAAGTAAATTGAAGGACCTTGAATTACATTGAATTACCATGGGGAAATTTTGCATGATGGAACATTGATATTTGGGACATTTTGAAGGATGGTTGAATGCCGGAATATGTGGGGGTTCCTAAAATGGTGGGTTGTCTTTTATATCCTAAAACACACTACTGTTTCAAGGAAATACAGAAATCAATGACTTGGATGATTTAGGAAACACCCAGAAGTAGGTTGAAATTCAATGGATTGATGTTGTGATGCTCACGTAGTTTGGACAACCCAATTGCAGGAATCAGCGTGTCGAACTCGTATCATTCAACATTCAAAAGCTCACAAATGCTAAGAAAGTGATATGGACTTCATCGGATATGGATATGGGTACTGTTGGAGTCTATAGCATCTTCAGCATGTCCATTGGCAGCTTGTATGTGTATTCATCTCACGTTTTAGAAGGAAGAGCCTTGTTAGAAATTGGCTAGATCAAGTGTGTTCGATTTGCCCTAAAGTCTGTATAATTCCAACCATTCGCCATCATTCGCCCAACGCTTTTCGCAGGACCAAGTGGCTAAACTGCCAATGACCTGACAGCGAACACAGTGGCAAATTGCTGCCACTATCCCCATCAAAAACCATCAAAACCTCTGTTGTTTTTGTGGAAAAAACGATTTCAGCGAACTATCCCAGCTTGAGGTACCAAATGACTTGCAGGATTGTCTCCACTTCCAGGCCCAAAACCTGCAAACCTTCGAGAAATAAAAACAGTTGCATGTCTGCTGGATTCCATGACAATACAACAGCTAGGACTAGAACCTTAGATAGCCAATTCAACATGTCTAATGTCAACTCAATAGTACTGACTGCAGACATGTATATATGTATATATATAATCATCCGTTTAAACAGGATTTTGCATTATTATAAACCATCCAGCAATTGAAATTGGGGGTACCCCCATGACTTTGGAAACCTTCATATAAATCCATCCAAAGGTGCTGTGATCCCAGCAACCAGGAGCTGCAGTATTGGATGATAGACAATTTTTCACATTGTGTGGCATATCAGGTACATCTGGTACATTCATGGAGATATAGATGTGAGTATTTCCCTATCATTTGAACAAATTGTTGGGGTAAATGTTGGCTAAAACAAATCCGGAGCATCTGGATTTGGTGAGTTATTCTTCAGGATCATGACCGGCAATGTTAGCAATCAGGTACTCTGAAGAGGAGAGCTATTTCCATCTTGAAGTAACAACAATTCGTGCGTGATATAGTTGCAATAAGGGATAGAACAAGGCCATTTTTTTGGGCATTGGCGATGATGGATAGCACCACATTCACTGCGATATCTGTGATAGGTCTTAAAATTTGACCCCGTAACCTTAGCATTTCTGACAAAGTCATGGATCAACTGATACAATTCAAGTGTGAGTCGAATCATGTCTGGCATGTACAATCCAAACCAAATAGTGTCCTTGTTGCGGGGACCCCATAAAATTCATCAACCAACCAGTGGTGACATCCAATAGAATACCTGTCCAGCACGCCTCCATGCAACGCCATGGCGTAAAAGTCGCTCAGCCGAACTCGGCCAGTGTTGGGGTGCTCCTCACAGGTAGTATGGGTAGAAAACCGGAAAAAAACGCATGTCTTTGATGGCTTAGAACCACCGGATTTTATCGAACAAAAGACTCTAGCATGCTCGTAAGCATAGATGCACGAGTGGATAAGATAAGGTAGAATGATTCTCTACCACTTACTTTAACTAGTCTATGAATTTTGATAGATGTATGCATGTATATAAAAATAAAAATGTGTATATATAAATATATATATAAGAAAAATAATAATAACATACATATAAAATAATATATAATATATATATATAAATATAATATACTATAATAAAAAATAATATAACATATATATATAATTTTATATGATATATACTGTATATATATATGTATATATCATAACATAACATATATATATAATATATAAAATATATTAGATATAATATATACATCATATTATATATATAATATATTTACTATAATATGATATATACTGTATATATATGTATATATAATAACATAATATATATAATTATAAATTATAATACATAATTATATATGTGATTATATGTGTGCTGGAACTACATCTAAAATTTACAATGTTTTGAATATACGAACTTGTATTTTAGACTACCTCCGGGCCTCCGGGAAGGATTTCCTTGGCCTGCCCGGCCGTTTAAACATACGGATTCCAATTTATTTAAACATACATGTAAATGATATACGGCCCTCCACATATTTAAATGTCGTTGCCATTTATTATCCACACATGTTGGTGCTGATTGTTCTTCAGAGATGCGTTGTCCATTCTCACTGGCGCAATGGACAACATGTCTTCGATCTGTCGTGGTCGCGGTCGCCACACAAATGTGCAAAACCCAACTTAAATAGGTATGTATAAAAGTACCCTTCGGTAATCAAAAGTGGCAATGGGAAATTCCCTATTATATGGTGGTTAAAGATCGGAAAATCTTCCGAACTTTTTTTTTGTTCTCCATTGCCTTGTTTGATTACGGGAGGGTAATCAACATTTGTTCCCTATTCAAAGTGCAATTGCAATCTTTTGGTGGTATACACCATTTTCAGACACTCGCAAATACTGCTGATGATAGTCCCACAATATCCCACAATCATGTCTGACTTCTACCGCGACAAACATGCTCCAAAGCCCCAAGAGCGTCCTCGTGTTGCAAAAGTTGGTGTTTCAGCCTCAAACTACTGTTTCAATGAATTGGATTGAGGGCGAAAATCTACAGGAAGTCCTGATCATGAAGGATTCCTTTTACTGCAATCTGTTGGGTGAGGGGATGACCATCTCCAATAGAGGTTTACTATTGGGAATACCCCTGTTGAGGATGATGTAAAATGTTTCCCATATGGTTGGTGAATGAGATTATTTATTATTGGTTTTTAGCACATGAGTAAATATCAATGAACGGATAGTGACTATAGTGAGCATGGGCATCAGTAGATCATGTCCGGCTGGCTGTCCCAAGGCTTCTTTTGGCCAACTGATTTGGTGCACAGACTGCATCAAAGTTAGGTGTGGACCAAGCTAAGCTCTGAAAATCTAGAGCACACTGTACTTTAAGTTACCCTGTTCTTGTCAATACTCCTGCACGTTCCAAACCAGCAAACCATCAAGGTCGTCAAACTCTGGTATCAAGCAAAGCTGGGGCTTCACTGCTGTAGGTGTACAAACTTACTTCTAATCAGTCAACTGTTTGGATATTTATCTCCCGACTTTTCTTCCTGGTTGGCCGGGGGGGTCATCCGCAAATCAACCATCGGGCCTGTGGGCCCCATGATCCGAATGAATTCCGAGGCAAACCCTAGCAATGGGCACAACTTGTACTCTCTTCTTTTTTGCTTTGTATATATATATATTATATATATATAATTAGCATTAATTAACATTAATTAACCCTGTTTGTTGTTAAGATCCAAACGCTCAAGTTCACCATTGTTGGTCCAATCTCTCTCGACACGTTCTCGTTGATGGACACATGTAAATTATCTTGTGTTTCTTCATTCAGTTTCTCAATTCTTAATGTGGCCTTGTCTGTAACTGGGGTAAATAATGTGCCCCTAAATACATCAGTTTACCGTTTACCCTTTCTTTGATGGCCATTTCGGAAAAAAATATACCGTTTTCAGACCCATATGTTTCTCCTGTGGGTATCCCATGGTATTCCATTGTGTCCGGCACGGTGGCCCCATCACCCCAGGTGACCGTGCTCGGAGCATTCATGGCTCTGCCAACGTCCATAGCGTTCTCCGGCTTCCGCCACTACCGCAGACAGAGCCGGGAACCTCGGGCGTTGCGCCGGGCCCAAGATCCCTAGGCTGTCCTCCCTAGGCCATGGCTGGAAGAAAAGAAGAAGGTCATATAACAGAGATGGGAAGTCAATGTATTTAATGTCCGCCGACCCCGGCCTTCGCCAAGGCCGGGGCGGCGCCTGGGACCACCGGAGGTGTGGATCCTGTCTTTCTTGAACCCTTGCCACGCCCAACGCTGCAGGCAAAAGCCACCACACGGCCACAGCGATGGCTCAAGAGCACCCCACGGCCGCAGCAATGGCTTCTTTTCTAGGCGTTCAAGGCTGCCGTTTGCCAGGCCTCAAACCCTCCAAACCTTCCAACTCCTCCAAAAGTTTGCCCAACTCCGCAGGGAAACGGTACCCCAACAAGCCCAACACGCGCCACGCCCGCAGGCAAAACCACAAGGCCACAGCAATGGCTCAAGGGCACCCCACGGTCGCAGCAATGGCTGCTTATAGGCATTTAAGGCTGCCGTTTGCCAGGCCTCAAACGCTCCAAACCCTCCAAATCCTCCACAAGTCCGCCCAACTCCGCAGGCAAAAGGTACCCCAAGAAGCTCAACACGCGCCACGCCCGCAGGCAACAGCCACCACAAGGCCACAGCAATGGCTCAAGGGCACCCCCCGGCCGCAGCAATGGCCACATTTAGGCGTTCAAGTCTGCCGTTTGCCACGCCTCAAACCCTCCAAACGCTCCAAAAGTCCGCCCAGCTCCGCAGGGAAAAGGTACCCCAACAATCCCAACACGCGCCACTCCCGCACGCAAAAGCCACCACAATGCCACAGCAATGGCTGAAGGGCACCCCCCGGCCGCAGCCATGGCTATAAGGGCCTCTTATAGGCGTTCAAGGCTGCCGTTTGCCACGCCTCAAACGCTCCAAACCCTCCAAAAGTCCGCCCAGCTCCGCAGGGACAAGGTACCCCAACAAGCCCAACACGCGCCACTCCCGCACGCACAAGCCACCCAAAGGCCACAGCAATGGCTGAAGGGCACCCCCCGGCCGCAGCAATGGCCTCTTCTAGGCGTTCAAGGCTGCTGTTTGCCAGGCCTCAAACCCTCCAAACGCTCCAAAAGTCCGCCCAGCTCCGCAGGGAAAAGGTACCCCAACAAGCCCAACACGCGCCACTCCCGCACGCACAAGCCACCACAAGGCCACAGCCATGGCTGAAGGGCACCCCACGGCCGCAGCAATGGCTTCTTATAGGCGTTCAAGGCTGCCGTTTGCCAGGCCTCAAACAAACCTCCAAACGCTCCAAAAGTCCGCCCAGCTCCGCAGGGAAAAGGTACCCCAACAAGCCCAACACGCACGCACAAGCCACCCAAAGGCCACAGCAATGGCTGAAGGGCAGCCCCCGGCCGCAGCAATGGCTTCTTATAGGCGTTCAAGGCTGCCGTTTGCCAGGCCTCAAACCCTCCAAACGCTCCAAAAGTCCGCCCAGCTCCGCAGGGAAAAGGTACCCCAACAAGCCCAACACGCGCCACTCCCGCACGCACAAGCCACCACAAGGCCACAGCCATGGCTGAAGGGCACCCCCCGGCCGCAGCAATGGCTTCTTATAGGCGTTCAAGGCTGCCGTTTGCCAGGCCTCAAACCCTCCAAACGCTCCAAAAGTCCGCCCAGCTCCTCAGGGAAAAGGTACCCCAACAAGCCCAACACGCGCCACTCCTTGCCACGCCCAACGCTGCAGGCAAAAGCCACCACAAGGCCACAGCAATGGCTCAAGAGCACCCCACGGCCGCAGCAATGGCTATAAGGGCCCCTTATAGGCGTTCAAGGCTGCCGTTTGCCCGCACGCAAAAGCCACCACAAGGCCACAGCAATGGCTGAAGGGCACCCCCCGGCCGCAGCTATGGCTATAAGGGCCTCTTCTAGGCGTTCAAGGCTGCCGTTTGCCAGGCCTCAAGCGCTCCAAACCCTCCAAAAGTCCGCCCAGCTCCGCAGGGACAAGGTACCCCAACAAGCCCAACACGCGCCACTCCCGCACGCACAAGCCACCACAAGGCCACAGCCATGGCTGAAGGGCACCCCCCGGCCGCAGCAATGGCTTCTTATAGGCGTTCAAGGCTGCCGTTTGCCAGGCCTCAAACCCTCCAAACGCTCCAAAAGTCCGCCCAGCTCCGCAGGGAAAAGGTACCCCAACAAGCCCAACACTCGCCACTCCTTGCCACGCCCGACGCTGCAGGCAAAAGCAACCACAAGGCCACAGCAATGGCTCAAGAGCACCCCACGGCCGCAGCAATGGCCTATTTTCTAGGCGTTCAAGGCTGCCGTTTGCGAGGCCTCAAACCCAAAAGTTTGCCCAACTCCGCAGGGAAAAGGTACCCCAACAAGCCCAACACGCGCCACGCCCGCAGGCAAAAGCCACCACAAGGCCACAGCAATGGCTCAAGGGCACCCCACGGCCGCAGCAATGGCTGCTTATAGGCGTTTAAGGCTGCCGTTTGCCAGGCCTCAAACGCTCCAAACCCTCCAAATCCTCCACAAGTCCGCCCAACTCCGCAGGCAAAGGTACCCCAACAAGCTCAACACGCGCCACGCCCGCAGGCAACAGCCACCACAAGGCCACAGCAATGGCTGAAGGGCACCCCCCGGCCGCAGCAATGGCTTCTTATAGGCTTTCAAGGCTGCCGTTTGCCAGGCCTCAAACCCTCCAAACGCTCCAACAGTCCGCCCAGCTCCGCAGGGCAAAGGTACCCCAACAAGCCCACCACGCGCCACTCCCGCACGCAAAAGCCACCACAAGGCCACAGCAATGGCTCAAGGGCACCCCACGGCCGCAGCAATGGCTGCTTATAGGCGTTTACGGCTGCCGTTTGCCAGGCCTCAAGCGCTCCACACCCTCCAAACGTCCGCCCAGCTCCGCAGGGACAAGGTACCCCAACAAGCCCAACACGCGCCACTCCCGCATGCACAAGCCACCTATGGCTATAAGGGCCTCTTGATGACCCCTCATCATAAAATGATTAATCATACACAAGCTGTCAGGTAGCCAACACAGCCACCGCCTCACCCTTGCGCGCCTGGCGGAGTTCGAGCTGATCCGTGTCCATTTGGCCGCAGGTGCAACTTCTCGCTGCTTGAGAAGCAAACGGCCATATGTCTGTCTTGCTGTCCGTCTCCCTCTCTCTCTCTGCAGTACCCCCCCTCCAATTAGGGGGGTCGGCGGCACCTGGGCGCTAGCCCATTCTATAATGGATATACATATATTATATAAATATATAATTACAGTATATATGTACATGTTTAATTTTCAACCAGTTTGATATATCGTTTTTGGTCAATGAGGAAATGAAGAGACAGAACATTAATAAGTATCTCGTTATTTTACATTGCAAGCAAAAACAACCACAAGAATCGAGAACACCTGGGGATGCTGGAGATACATAGTTTGGTGAGTTCAGTAGGGTTTTTACTTTTCAAGCCACTCCATGTGTGGTATATTTCCCTACATTTGAACAAATGTGTGCGGTAAATAAATCTAAATAATATTAATATTCCATATATTTCCATATAAATTTGATAAAATTAAGCGTCCAACTCCATCACTATTGCAAATGGATCAAGGGCTCTGCCATTCCCATCATTCCACGGGTATCAATGGCGGCAGGGCGCTGGTAACATTGACCTCACTATCATGAGGGATCCCAAAATCATCCAAAAGCTGTTATCTTTCATCCGGAAACCAATGGTCTGGAATAGCATCATTTTGAGAAACACACAATTTTTATCCGTTGATGCAGGGCGCTGCCAGTACCATGGTTGTGTGTGAAAGTATGAGGAATCAACACTTCAACTCAGCAAATCTCAGCAAAGTGCTCCATGAGGCTTCCATAGGTAGATTCACTTCCCAAATGACTATGGACTTGTCCAAAAATGGGGTAAACCCACCACAACTGGCATTCAAGTAGGTACCGTGTACCTCATGGACCGTGTATCCAAATGTATGCAGTGTATTCTCCCTTGCTTTCCAAGACACATGGGGGGTGGGGTGGGGAGCTAATAACGTTCCTTGGCCTTCATCTGGGAAGGAGAAGTCATCAAGGACGCAACTTCCATCTTTTATCGTACATCCCCAGTCCTGCTTTGATTATCGCGCTGCATTCACCTCTCTTTCTTTGGAGTTGCAGCGGCACAGCCAGTTGTAAAACTTGGACCCATGGGTTGACATGTCCCGACTTCCGGCAGTCATCCCCGCTGTTCCTTTTTTTGCGTCAACAAACATCAAATTCGTGGTCAGTACATTGGAACATGTTACATACAAGTAGCAACTTAATGAACAGAAGGCCAATCAAATTTGAAACAAATAATAATGGTATAACATGGTATAGCACCCTGAACACATTGATGCTTCTGACGCCCCATTTACATGAATTATCACATGGTGCACTCACATGATTCAATCTTGAAAGATAAAAAAACACCGTCCCTCACGCACACGGCGCTTTCCAATAGGACATTTCAGGATAATCTACCATCTGGTTATTTAACATAGCCATGGAAAATCCCTGATAAATGGAGGTTTTAATGGGAAAATCATCTATAAATGGACCATTTTCCATGGCTATGTTAGCCATAACCAAAGGGTATCGGAATTGGCATAGTCTTTGAGAATATGCGTGCCAGGCAACGAAAAGTTGACCGTCTCTGGTGTCACCTCTTCGCGAATCATCTGCAAAAATGCTTGCGTGTTTGGCCAGGTGGGGTACTGTTCCACCACCTCGAGATGGAGCTGAGCTTCATGGAGATGATATGGGATGATAGAACCTTTCCATAGCAATACTACCACAAATAATCAACAACACCATAAATGTACAATACCAGAAAACTACAATACGATAATTCTATTTTTTGGGGCGGAATGACAGCCCATTTACCAGCTAGTTTGGTGCGAAAACCAAGGGGACCGAGGCTTTGATCCGAAGCAACTGGAACAGGCAGTGGATACAGACTCCACCAGGCTAATATATTAAAATGGATCATGAATGAAGCACGCTTTAGCTATCTATCAACTGTTACATGAATAGATACACGACATAAATATGAATTGAATTGAATTGATATATCATGAGTCATGAGTTTTAACAAATTGTCGCTCACATATCACATCACTTGTTCAATGAAATTGCTTGCATTCATCGCATACTGTGGATCTAGGTATCTAGGCCACATGGCTGTTTTTCTGCCCTCACTGTGTTTAACGTTGGTTTATCCCAACATTGGGTACGTTTGGTTCTAGGATGTTTTAGAACATGATTCCCTCATTGAACCTGATATTTTGAGGTTGCCAGTATACCTCATCTCTGGAATTTTGCTCAAGTGGTTCCTATTAAAAATGTCCTATGAATTCCCCAAATGGCGCTTTTCCCGCGGGGAGACTAAAGCAACCTAAAACAAAAATCAAAAATCGGATTTCCGGAGAAACCTGCATTGATACTCATTTTTGTTGGCTGAAAACAGTACAGCATTTTCTTTGGTTCAACTGAATGACCACCATTTTTATCGGAATTCAACCCACCTCTCCGAGTTTGCTTTGATGCCCCACCCAATAAGAGATGGTGAAGATTTGCCCTGACGTCTGCGGTTGTTGGTGGATAATAGGCCAAAATAAGCCCAAGTAAAGCCAGATTCTTGGGGGCGGTATATCTCATTGTATCGCCATTGTGCTTGGTCTTACACCCGCTGGTGACTTTCCATGAATTTCCCCATGAAATCCGCCCAGGGTTAAGGTTGAATCCCCGTGACATGTTACCGTATTTTTGCTGGTGAAACCCATCGAAACCATTTGAAACCCTCCATTATATTGGTGAAACAATCATGTTCTCTGTTCAACTGCATTAATATCCATCCGATTTGATGCTTGAAGCAGCATCTCTTCTTGATTCAAGTGAGTTCACCCCTCTGATTTTTCGGGAAACCACTATCATTTCATCTATTTCAATAGATTCTCGGTTTTCTCCACCCATGTTCTCCCAGCCATCCTGTCCCCGGCCCCACGGAACCTCCTCCAACTTCTGCAGCATCGTGGCCCTGGAACTCACAGCATTTTTGTGGAGCTCCCGCGCGTCGGAGCCCATGACGAAGGATGCCATGTACGTCTCCAGCACCGCAGTGGACCTGAGGCTAAGCCATGCAACTGGAACCGATTGATTGGAGGTACAAGGTGGTGCCCGCCAGTTATAAGTTGATCACCTCCCACTAACTATAGATATGTATCAAAAACCCTAGTTATTGGAGCTATAAACCAACTAAGCCAACTATGGGGCACCACCTTGTACCCACTATAAGGTCTGTGCAAGAACTATGTAAGGGGGTATAATCCCCAAATATGACTTATATAATATGGGATCGTACCTCCAGTTTCGGTACCTGAAATGGGTCCATCATTGATGTGGGACTGCAACAACCCCCATGCGGAACTACTGGCTATGGAAACCGGGGATTTAAACACGCCGTGGCCGTTTTGATAAGGAAAAGGATGATGACCCGTCAAATTTGGAGGTACCCTATTTTCAAACAAGCCTATGCGCAACTGGGTTCTGACCATGGTGGCAACACAAAAATCCAAATAAGACCCACCAGTAGTGACCATCCAGAACAATCAGGCAACAAAAAAGGGAAAGTTGGAGACTCCACGTCCCCTGCTCAAATTGGAGACAGCAATGTATCTTGCTAAAACATGAATCCCTCACGTTCATAAACGTTGATCGGGATAAATCATGATGATTCACAGACCTCGGCGATTCCCGTAATCCTAACCATCATTCCAGTGTCTTCGCAAATCTTTATCATCTATCCATACCGAGAATGACAAATAGAAATCGTTTGGGGCTATATATGAATAGTTTATTTTGGTGTATATACTGTAATAAAATAAATATAATACACATAAAAATTGAATCTCAACAGGCAGGAGATGATTTGGGGTCCTATATTGTGAATTTTGAGTAATCTGGTTTTCACATTGCCCGAATGAACAAAAGTTGGATCCGTTTGTGGCTGTGAACAGCTACGCGCTCTAGGAGGGATTGATTTTGACTCATACGCTTATTGATGAAAAGGTGGTGTATACATATAATTATATATATAACACAATAAAATGAAAATAAAGCAAAGGCTTAACAACCATAATTAGTTGGGATGAAATGTGCCCGTATGTATAACAAACAATCTAGTTGAAGCAGCAACAACTAGGAATGTGACCAAGTATGGTGGAGATTGACAGGCCCGACCTGAAGTAGGTCGGAGACACATATATATATATATGTTTTTAAGTGTTTACAGCTCAGAATTAAACTAACAATTATTTTGTTCAACGGGATCTTGCCAATGAAAACGGACCTCAAGGAACAAGTAGTAGGGATCCATTATTATGGTCAGGTAATAATCATGCAGCAACATGGCAAAACTATGTATGCATGCATGTATAGAGGATTTCACGCAGATTTTCTAAATCCCAAGCATGATCTGGCACATGGAGCACAAGTCGTTGAGGTGGATGTTGTGGAAGCTTTGCAGAAACAAAACACGAATCACAATACGTTGGGCAAATGACGTACAACAACAAGATTGTGGAAGTGGTTTTTGTAGGTAATGTGACAGTACACAATGTGTTTATATATAATATATAATATGAGACATGATATCAAAGAAAAACCGCATATCTCTGCTGGTCCACTGCTTGATCCACTCTGAGAAGTAGGATTTTACCCCCCCCTTGTTACCGCCGGTGATTGGCCCCAGTGAGGTTTCGCGGTTTGTCACTCGTATCCAGCCCATGATCCCACGAATAATTGGGAATATTCCATTGCCGTAACGGCCAGTACCAGTCTTTTTCATATCATCATTTCCCCATTATAAGGATGTTCAATCAATCAAACAATCAATCAATCAATCAATCAATATATATATATATGATAATGTGTATATACATGTATATATATAATTATATATAAATAAAATACATGTTCTTATACATGCATATCTAACTATATAATATATATATATAAATATTGATTGATTGATTGATTGATTGATTGATTGTCCATTCATCTAATAGTGAATCATGTTATGGTTACTGCCCAAAATACTCATGGATCTTCCACATTAGACATTGGTGGCCCTTTGCACCGCAGCTCTTCTCCACTTCCTGAGTGGCTCGTTGAGGCTCAACTGCGCTGCCAAGGGAAAATCCAAGGCGTTGAAGACTGCCGCCAGGCGGACCTGAATGTGTTGGCCGCCTGCCCCGGGGGCCCTTTGGAACATGGGAAAAACCATGAGAAAACGTGGGAAAACATAGGAACATATCAAACCAACATGGGAAAAACATGGGAAAATTATGGGAAAACATGGAAAAACATCGAAAACCATTGCCATCTTGGGCGTATATTGGCCCTGATTATTCCTTATGAATGGAGGAAACTGGAACCATGACCATCCAATATGGTCTAATATGGGCAAGTGATCCGAGGGTCCAAAACCCGCGTTACATCATGAGATACTCAACGGTTGGTGAACATAGATGAAAAAAAAAGTGAAGAAGGGGAATTCCAGAAAGGAACTTGATAATTCCGGAACCATTGGGTAGCCTACAGATAATCAGCCAACAAGGGTTCTGAACACTGTTCACATGTCCTGAAATCCTAGAATTGGTTGAAACAAAAATTTTCAGTAAAATCGCATGTTTTTGGGGGAAAACAAACCCAATGGTTTCAAGTGTCATCCCGGTTTCAACTGTCCCTTGAAAAAAATCAATCGAAACCCACGAAAACGATGTGAAAATCAATGGGTTTCCCTAGGATAATTGTCACCAACGGTGGTTTTCCAAAAAACATAATTCAGTGGAGGGTGTCAACGACTAAGAATGTGTCAAGGTCAACATTCCACATCGAGAACCTCGATGAATGGAACTGCAGTGATCGAACACACGACAAAAGACTTTCCAACTTTAGTACGAATGGGCTGCTAGATCGTGCATCAGATCGATGATTCTGGCCAACACTGGCCTTTGTATCTGTCAGAAACCATAAAATGAATACAACCTTCATAATCTTTCATATACATTCATAATACATGTGCTTCCATATCCCATATCGCTCCGCACCATTCATCCAATATCATCCAATATCCACCCGCCTTCACCTTCCGGTCATAAATTGAAAGTCCCCCATTTTCGCACTGATGGATTTGCTTCCATCCCTGAGTAATTATCCTGGACCTGGACGCCCTTCCCTTCCGCCGGGCGAACATCTGCTTCCGAGTGGACCATGTTCTCCAGTAGTGCTGCCAAGGCCGCCAAATCTGCCAGGGAGATGTCATTTTTTTCCCGAAACAAGGCCGCGATCGCCTCAGAGTCAGAACCAGGCTGATGGTGAAGACCAGCTATGGCCAATCTTGGAAAGCAATATATATACATATATATATATAAGAAAATGATACTGTATAAAATTAAAGGACCGGATACCGCCACAAGTCAACTTCTTCCAAAAATGAGACACAAAAGTTGAAGCGGGACGGGGAAGGAAGGAAAAACAAAGGTGGTGGAGGATCGATAAGGTTAAAAAAAACAATTGTATGTGGAAGAGTTGTGTGTGCGTGTGTGTGTTAGAACGGTGTGATGTATGAGGGTGAAACAGTTGTGTGCGCAAGAGTTGTGTGTGAGGAAGTTGTGAAATATTTGTGTATGAGTGTGAACGAGTTTTGTGTGAGAAAGCTGCGTGTAAAAGAGTTGTGTGTGCCAAAGCTGTGCATGAGAAAGCCGGCCTCCCAAGCAACGCGGTGGAGAGCAGGGCGGGACGTTCGACAGCGCCCCGGGCGCCCAACTTGCCCCAAGCGCGCCACCAGACCCAGCCAAGTGCCATAAGTGCCACGGATTGCCACGCAGAATGAAGGTCGATGGTGTGTGACAAAGTTGTGGGTGAGCAAGTTGTGTGTGACAAAGTTGTGTGTGTGAAAGATGGTGTGTGACAAAGTTGTGGGTGAGCAAGTTGTGTGTGACAAAGTTGTGTGTGTGTGTGAAAGATGGTGTGCGACAAAGTTGTGGGTGAGCAAGTTGTGTGTGACAAAGTTGTGTGTGTGTGAAAAATGGTGTGTGACAAAGTTGTGGGTGAGCAAGTTGTGTGTGTGACAATGTTGTGTCTGTGAAAGATGGTGTGTGACAAAGTTGTGGGTGAGCAAGTTGTGTGTGACAAAGTTGTGTGTGTGAAAGATGGTGTGTGACAAAATTGTGGGTGAGCAAGTTGTGTGTGACAGAGTTGTGTGTGTGAAAGATGGTGTGTGACAAAGTTGTGGGTGAGCAAGTTGTGTGTGACAAAGTTGTGTGTGTGAAAGATGGTGTGTGACAAAGTTGTGGGTGAGCAAGTTGTGGTTGTGGACAAGTGTGTGTGTGTGAAAGATGGGGTGTGTGACAAAGTGTGGGGTGAGCAAGTTTGTTGTGGACAACAGTGTGTGTGTGGGAAAGATGGTGTGTGACAAAGGTTGTGGGTGAGCAAAGTTGTGGTGACAAGTGTGATGTGTGAAAGATTGGTGTGTGACAAAGTTGTGGCGGGGAGCAAGTTGTGTGTGACAACGTTGTGTGTGGAAAGATGGGTTGACAAGGTTGTGGGGGAGCAAAAGTTGCTGTGTGACAAAAGTTGTGTGTGTGACAAGATGGTGTGTGACAAATTGTGGGTGAGCAAGTTGTGTGTGACACAGTTGTGTTGGGAAAGACGGTGGGTGTGACAAGTTGTGGGTGAGCCAGTTGTGTGCGACACAGTTGTGTGTGAAAGATGGTTTTGGTGTGGACAAGTTGTGGGGAGCAAGTTGTGCGTGGGACAAGTTGAGTGTGTGAAAGTGGTGTGTGACAAAGTTGGGCGTGCAAGTTGTGGTGACAAAGTTGTGTGTGTGAAAGATGGTGTGTGACAAAGTTGTGGGTGAGCAAGTTGTGTGTGACAAAGTTGTGTGTGTGTGTGAAAGATGGTGTGCGACAAAGTTGTGGGTGAGCAAGTTGTGTGTGACAAAGTTGTGTGTGTGTGAAAAATGGTGTGTGACAAAGTTGTGGGTGAGCAAGTTGTGTGTGTGACAATGTTGTGTCTGTGAAAGATGGTGTGTGACAAAGTTGTGGGTGAGCAAGTTGTGTGTGACAAAGTTGTGTGTGTGAAAGATGGTGTGTGACAAAATTGTGGGTGAGCAAGTTGTGTGTGACAGAGTTGTGTGTGTGAAAGATGGTGTGTGACAAAGTTGTGGGTGAGCAAGTTGTGTGTGACAAAGTTGTGTGTGTGAAAGATGGTGTGTGACAAAGTTGTGGGTGAGCAAGTTGTGTGTGACAAAGTTTGTGGTGTGTGTGAAAGATGGTGTGTGACAAAGTTGTGGGTGAGCAAGTTGTGTGTGACAAAGTTGTGTGTGTGAGCAAGTTGTGTGTGACAATGTTTGTGTGTGAAAGATGGTGTATGACAAAGTTGGACAAAGTTGTGTGTGACAAAGCTGTGTGTGTGTGTGAAAGATGGTGTGTGACAAAGTTGTGGGTGAGCAAGTTGTGTGTGACAATGTTGTGAAAGATGGTGTGTGACAAAGTTGTGGGTGAGCAAGTTGTGTGTGACAAAGTTGTGTGTGTGAAAGATGGTGTGTGACAAAGTTGTGGGTGAGCAAGTTGTGTGTGACAAAGTTGTGTGTGTGAAAGATGGTGTGTGACAAAGTTGTGGGTGAGCAAGTTGTGTGTGACAAAGTTGTGTGTGTGTGAAAGATGGTGTGTGACAAAGTTGTGGGTGAGCAAGTTGTGTGTGACAAAGTTGTGTGTGTGAAAGATGGTGTGTGACAAAGTTGTGGGTGAGCAAGTTGTGTGTGACAAAGTTGTGTGTGTGTGAAAAATGGTGTGTGACAAAGTTGTGGGTGAGCAAGTTGTGTGTGACAAAGTTGTGTGTGAAAGATG